GGGGCGTTTTTAGCCCATTTTTGAATCACAGGACCCCCAAAGATTCACAGTACTTTATAAAAAGCATATAGTATTTGGTTGAGACGTAATATTTTAAAAACAAAAGTATAGACCCCCCCCCCAAAAAAAATGGTCTGTTCCAGCTCTCCCCTACTCTGGCTCTGTTGTCCTTTCTGCCAGAGCGATGGTGGCTGAGACGCAGCAGAGCGGAGGTGTGAGTGCCTGCCTTAAACCAGGACATATTAGCTGCATTTAACCTTCAGTTATGTAGGAGTCAGACCGTGTTTCCTTTTTAGCTGAAAAACATTACACCAGGTAACCTGCAGTGTTGAGAGCGTGTTTTCCGATGTTTGCTACTCTACAGTCCGTCCTACTCTGTAGTAAAATCAGCGACATTTGACCGTCCTGTTGCTCCCATTGGAATTTATGTAGCCTATTTAAAATCTACAACTTAAAATTGTTGTTACCACTGTCCTGTTTGAAATGGAACGAGAGAAGCTGGTTATTTTGTCATATGTGCATGTGCCGATATTAAACCCAGCAGCCACATTCAGGTAAAAGTGTAAGATCAAATGATCCGTCAATAAAGGATAATGTTGGATCAGTGTTTCAATATTTATATCTTTTATTAGATGTTCATGTGGTTTGGTTATTTGCCTTTTGGTTGAAAGTACACCGAGAGATGACTTTTTTTTATTAGTGATCTTAATAATATCTTTTTTCATGTTAATGTCATTTTTTCATCTAATTGAATATATCTACATCTATTTGTGTATGATTATCGGTCCAAAGAGGGAGAGAGGAAGGAGGGCAACGTTAGGAGAAAGTACAAGTTAGTTAGTTAGTTAGTTAGCATAACATTAGCTGAAGGATGAACGCTAACTTTTTTCCACTCGATAAAAGGTAACGTGATGGTTTCTGGTGGTTAAGGACAAATGCAATCGTATAGCAGGATGCTGTACACGGACTAAACTTCAGTCAGGAGAACAACTGAGATTATTCATCCACAATACGAGGTTAGTCAATAATATACTGCAACAACATGGGAATAGAGCAGCTGCAAGAGAATTCAACATTAATGAATTAATGTTAAAGAAGTGGAGAAAGCGCAGTTTTTGGCTTTCCTCATATTCCAAAAGTGCTTCGTCTCTTTGCTGTGACTGTCGCCCGCCATAATTTGCAGACGATGTTGTTTGCAGCAGCTGCAATGCTTTCGACCAAAATAGGCGGAGCTTGTTGACACCAACAACATGCGCTATTGCGATAGAGCGATATAGTCAAAATCTCTACCGTTGGCCAAATTTATATCGTCTCTACCGTATACCGTTTATACCGCCCACCCCTACTTATGATTTAATAAAGATATTTACAGACTTTGAAATGACTGAAAGATTTATTAGGGTTTGTTTTGAGTTTTGTTCAAAAAGGAATAACTTCATATAAAAAAAAAAATCACATATGCTGGACATCTTAAACAATTTTTTTAATAAAGCAGCACAGCAGAAAAAAAATCAGGGCTAACCCTTCACTCTATCATGTGGCTCGGTGCTGTCCCCGTTAAAGAGCCAAGGACCTTCTTTCCACTTCCTCCATTTATAGGTTGGATGCAGTGAGTAACACTGAGGAACAACACACCCTCGTCGTTCTAGCTAATGCTAGAAAGTAATATTAAATAAATTCTAACAACAGCTGATCAAGCTTAAAAGTGCTGCTGTTGTTTTGCGTGACATTCGCCGGTTTCTTCTTTCTGGCGCAAAGTGGGCGATAAACAAACAAGAGAGACGATCAGCTGATCATTGATCAGTTTCATGATCGAAGTAGAAACGGAGGGAGGGGGAGGGGATGAGAGAAGAAGAGGCAGCTGTGCAACGTAACGTCAGAATAAATCCAGCTTTGTGTCTTTTTCATTGTAGCTGAAGTCCGGGACAAACTGTGTTCCTTTCCAGCTCAATATGAAACCCATAATATTTTCTCTGAATACGAGACGATTCCATTTTTATAGAACGGTCGGCAACTCTACTAACTAACTAACCTTATGAACAAAATAAAGTTCAGTATCAGTAACATGAAAGCACCCGCATAGTTGTATAGAAACTCTGTCATGCTAGTTAGTACAATAGTAACTGACTGTAAAAATAAACTCCACCTAAACTTGGTTTATATCTGACCCAGATAGACTGCAGGTCATAACTTCTTACCTGAAGTTCAGTTCACCTGACACTCGGACCGGCGGCTGCCTCGGGTCTCTTATCCTCCTGCCTCCCCTTTCCCTCATCCACCTGCTGGCTTCTGTGGAAGCTCCGCCATTGCCACCACCAAACAACTGAGTTATTTTTACACACCGGCCAGCTTCTGGCCAATCCACCACCTCTCATTGTTTATACTGTTCAAAAAAAGCAGAAAAACCCACAATCATCGGCCCATTAAAAACGAAAAATCACCATCGGCCCACCGGGCCAATGCCAGGTATGCCCGATGGTCAGTCCAGCTATGGTCGTGCCATCAGTTAACCCTTCGTGTACCAGCTATGACACGCATGCCCGGGGTTGCCGACCCCTGTTCATAGGTATTGTTGTCACTGAGTGTAGTAATGTTAATTTGCTCTGCTTCTTCTTGTCAGGGATAAAATGCATATCTATACTTTTTGTGTCCCAGCTGAGTAACAGGAGGAGAAGAGTCTGGTGGAGCAGCAGAGGAACAGTTTCAGCCATTTGGACTCAGCTCAGCCACTACAGAGGAAACAATGACTTCAACACAGGAGGTGAGAAAATATCTCAGTTA